TTGGCCAGGAAAGCATTGGATATGGTGGCTAATAATGGGGTTGTTAAGGAGAATAATGATGTTGATGATTTTGAATTGGCATTTCGGTTGCATCGAGCAATAAATAGCTCGCCCCGGATATCGAGTAATTTGTGCTTGGTTAATTCAAGTTGTTTGGGTGTTGCTAGGAGAGGGGAGGGTAATGGTAAAACGCGGATTAGAGATTCTGATTTTAGGAATCCCAGTGCTTGTGGAAAGCATGATGATTTTCTGAGTAAAAGTGTGGACTTGGAGTGTCGGAAATCGAATGGAATTGGTGATGGTAAAATCAGACCTAATGCTAAGAAAGATGGAAATGCGGGCAAGTGTTCGAAGATGGGAGAACAGAGCTTTTCCAGCAAATTGATAGACTCAAGGGGGAATGACCATAGTGTGAACTCTGGTTCTCAATCTTTTAGGGAACGAAATGAGTCTATGACACCTGATGATAAAAGTTGCAAGGGAAAAAATGACCGCTATCTGCTGAAGTATAGTAGGAGAAAGTTAGATGAGAGGTTAATTCCAGATGGTGGACCCAAGTTCCTCTATGAAGGCTTGCACTCAGGACTTGCACCTCAGCAATGGAACAGCTGCTAAGGTGTTCTAAAGAATTGTTGGGGATCTGTCAAGGATGACACCAAATCTGTAGATTTACCTATAATTTTCCGATAGGTTCTCAACTTTTGAGGTTTCCAAGAGTTAAAACAATGTGCTTTCCTTTATGTATGAAATTCTTTGTACTTGTGATCTTTCATATTACATTCTTAAATTCAATCTTTGTGCTTTCTGTTTTCTATCTGTAATTACATCTCTTACATGCTCTCTTCTCTGGCCGTGCTGGTTACTCTTTTACTTGTATCATATGAGCATGCTTAAATAGAAATATCATTGATATTTAACCTGAGTGACTGACGATGGCACACTTCCATGGTATTAGAAGGAATGGAAAAGAAGCCAATTTATGGAAGAATGCAGAAAAGATCTGTTCAGGATTTTATATCAGCTTTATGTGGCTGTTAATTTATGTGCCAAACATGTCCTTTCCTCGGTGTCATTTTGAAAATTGTGAATGTGGATAATTAGCTTAACTTGATAGAGTTTTGTTTCTTGCTTATGGACTGTTTCACTAAATGTTGCTTATTTCGCAATAAGTTGCTACAATTGAATTCATTCTTGGAAGTATATTGTCTCTGGGATGCTATGTTTAATTAGCTCCAATAGAATCAAAATACTGATAAGTTCGTTCTTCATATAAGGACTGACATTTTGCTCCTGCTTCTCTGTTATGGACTGCAGACACCTCTCTGATCTTGTGCCTTGTATTCGACTGTTTTGGTTGATGATGCTTGTTTTGTGAGAAATCTTATTTCACTATGCATTCAGTGGTAATGTTGCTGTTGCATTAATCCTACTGATTCTAATCTGTTGATGCAAATTATGAGGCAGCAATACTACAATTGTTTCTCTGGGTTTAACAACTGTTTCTGCATTGCTACAGCTGTTTCTTACTTGGCTGATTTAGTTTGCAGGAGTTGATTCTGGCTTTAACTTTGTTATAGGCAGTCTATGAAGTCCTACACTTTTGACTGGCCCATGTAATTCTCTCTCTTGTTGTAGGTTTTGGCTCCTTTGGCTGCATTTTGTGTACCAAACTGGCTTAGGCTGATTTAGTTTGCAGGAGTTGATTCTGGCTTTAACTTTGTTATAGGCAGTCTATGAAGTCCTACACTTTTTACTGGCCCATGTAATTCTCTCTCTTGTTGTAGGTTTTGGCTCCTTTGGCTGCATTTTGTGTACCAAACTGCCTAGACTAAGCCTTTCTTCTTGCTCCCTGACCCCTGTTGGCGTCCTTAGCAAACTTCCACGGTTTGGTTGAAAGATCACATCAATCAACCATTAGGAATAGAATGAATTAATTTGGATGATCCCAATACCCCTAGTCGAGATGGTGGTTGTAAGTATTTGTTCATGGAAACTGAGTTAAAAGACATGCAGGACAGCAAAAACACGAGAGTTGAATACACTTGCATGTTGAAGTATTGATTAGTTATGCATTCATGTGTTCACTGTATGCTCATTTGGTTATAATTTTTGAAAGTTAATCTTCAAGAACATCAAGGGAATCCTTGTCACTCCAACCCTGTCAAAGAATCACAGGTAAACACACCTTTCTCTATTTAGTTGTCAAAAGCTCAGCTTAGTTTCTTTCAACATGTGAAGTATTTTCTAAACAAGTCGAAACTTTTTCCCACAGCCTTAACTGCTAAACAAGCTCATAGCAAGTGAAAGCTACGATTATAATGATGAAGCTATAAGAGTTAGCCCTTCTACACCAAACTTCATGATTAACTCTGTGGTTCAAATGTAATGAAGAAGAAAGGAAACAGCTCAAGATATATTTTAAGAGTTGATGGAAAAATGGAGACACATTGGTTAAATGTTTCCTTTATTCAGTGACTCAATATATGTAATTCCCTTGGTTTATGCTATATGAGAACTTCTTTTTTTCATTTTCTTAATTCTAACATGTAATTTTTTTATATATAATTTATCTTACTTTCCAACATTGTAGAACATAATTTGAAGAAAGAAATTGATTGCTCAGATAAGGTACACGCCACAAAATTAAGATGGAAAGATTACCAGCAGGCAGCAGATCTGTCTTTGAATATTCTGTTGGTTAGCTGGTTAGAACAACAGAACCGTGCAACTGCTGAACAAGGTCAGGTGACACCTTTTGTTGCTTTCTATTTCTGTCACTTCGACATTTATCAGTAGAATTCTTTTATGGGTTTTATAGATTTTCAATTCTACATCTTGATGGTGTTCTTTGACATTTAAATTGATTGATTTTTACTTCGATGAATGAGTGAAATATTGATTTCGAGGAGAATTGAGATAGGGGCAGCCCCTCTTTAAAGATGATAGGAGATGAACACCAAGCATCTGAAAACTTTCAAATTTGTGTCCCAGGGATACATGTGGTTTAGCAGGGACACAGTTGATCCTGGAAGAACTGTGTATGTGGTCTTTGGAATTTATGCTGAGTGGCAAGGAGCAAGGCATTTTATTGTGCAAAAGAGACAACATGCTACTCAAAGAACAAGCAGTTCAACATTATGTATGGACATATCCTAGGGCCAAACCCCAACTTCTGAAAGTCAACGTTCATGCAGCCTTCAAATGGAGTGTAATTGATGCTCCCATGCAGTCATTAGGGTACCATGCACAGACCACAGGGGTATAGTTATAGGTGGCCTTTCACTCGGTAGAAGGTGATGAGGTGCTTTACATGGTGAAGCTTGATTTGGCTCTCAGAGAGGCTATCAAGAAGATGGGACTCTGCCATTAATGTCGCGGAAGCAATATCACACCAACATGCAGGCCTAATTGGGTATCCAACGATTGATAAATGGTTTTTGAGCATCCAGCGAGATTACATGTAATAGGAATGCCGCGCAGTAATATATTTGGATAGCCAGAAATACATTTAATTCTACATGTCATGTTCAGTTCAATCTGTAGAAATGGAAAAAAGCAATCAACCCACTAATGTATACGAGTGAAAGAGCTTCACTTTTAAACGTTTAGGGGTGAAGGTAAATTAATATTAGAGAAATTGTTGATGACTTTCTTGTTCATCAAGGGGAAATCCAACAGTATTTGGGTTCAAGGATAAAGTAAAGGCATCGACACTAGAAACCTTAAATTTATCTGAAGATGCTGAACAAGTCTCTAGTTTTACTAGAAGTAAATGTGAAAATGTCCTCGTTGTTGTGTACATTTATTTATTTTTGGGTCTAAACCCTCGTATTCGAAAATCATTACATCCCGATTAATTTGGTTAAGCCAGGTTGGTTCATTAAGGATTAAAGCTCTTCAAGTAATGATGTGTTTTATACATAAAAGTTGAATTCAAGATTTTATTTTAGAAGAATAAATATGGAATGATTTGAACCAACCACTATTGATGTATACAATAACTTAGTTTGCAGTATGAACAATAAGGAAGTGTTTGGGAGCACGAAACACAAGGGTGTATATGGGATAAATTTCAGACATGTTTTTCACGCAAAGACGAAGACAGAACTCTATTTTGTTTGTCTTTCGAAATAAAAATTGAGAAAATTTATATGCTTTCTTGCAGATGGGGCTCAAGGGATGGAGAAAAAAAGAAGACATTTTAATAAAAACTAAATATAAAAAAAAACAAATAAAATCAGTGTACTGAAAATGTTGTGATAATGTACGGGTATATGTAATCGCTCACAAAAAGAGGTCGGCAACTAAAATCATAAACCATGCAATTAAGTCATGACTTCTGTCGATTTTCCCCCCCTCTCGATCACAAATTTCGTATTGAAACTAACTAACAATTTAGTTATTTCATGCAATCAACAAGTAACTACCCACAATACAGAATGCTGATTTGATGAAGGAGAAGTATATATTTAATTATGGAGTTGTAGACCATTGATCTAATTAAGTACAGTACTACGATCCTGGCCAAAATAAAAATTCACAGAGATGGAGTCCGAAGTTCCAGACCCTTGCACATGGAATTATATTGAGACACACATCTTAACATGCTCTCCAACCATCTGTACTGGTGCGACCTCGTAAGCACATATCAAGGCAATCTGAGCCATCTTCAAGTACTGGTTTCTTTGCTCGAAGAACTTGAGTGTCAGCACTATAAGTTTGATGATCCCAATGTCTTTAAGAACCAAGAAACTTGATGATGACTCGATTGTCTTGAAATACATTACAAAGGTTGCAGCAATGTTGATGCTTTGAGGGCAATGTTTATATGTGTGCCGCAAAGACGACTGCATATATTTATTTTTGTTGTTGTTCTGCTTGTATCTATTCTCTAACGATATACAGTTTAAGAGATCTGTCTGATGGTAAAGGAAGTTTCATTCCTTGCTTAATTTTCTAATTCTAAGTAACGATACCTAAGAAAGTTCCTGGCCAAAGGTGCCACCAAGATCAAGAAACCATGGTCTTTTAGGAGGTCAAACACAATAATCCTTCTTTCTCCAAATTCAAAAATTAGTTTTGGGCTTTCTCTCCTTTTTGGTTTTTGTTAACTAAATTGCTTCTTTCCATTCTTTTGGATCTCTCTTTCCGTAATGCAATCTCTAATTCTAATTTAGACACAAATATGGTAAGCTTCAGATAATAAGAAGACAGGATAGACATTTAAATTACTCCGTTTCGTAAAATCTGGCACAGATTTTATTTTGATTGCCGGCCTGTAGTTTTCTATTGGATACATGTTGACTGACTAGGTTAACATGTAAGCGATTTGTGAAGGGAGAGTTGGAGATTTTTTTTTTCTTTTTTCCTTCTATGTGATGGCAAGTAACATAATTACTTAATTAACGATCACATATAAGGTAATTAAGAGCGTATGGGTGCCTTTTTCCTTAGAATTTCAACCATAATTGTCAAATTTAATCCCTTTCTTCCGATAAGGTTTCGGATCACTTGGATTGTGGGTTAATTCATTGAATTAGTTAGTTGACTCGGTAGGTTAGATACGTGTTTGAAAGTGTTTTTGAAATTATTTTTTATTTTAAAATATATTAAAATAATAATTATTATTTTTAAATTTATTTTTTACACCAATATATCAAAATGATATAAAAAACATAAAAAAAATTAATTTAAAACTAACAAAATCAGAATTTTTTAATTAAAAACACGATCGGACCGCAATCCCACACAACTTCTAATTATGATAAAATATTTAATTTTTATAAATATGTTAATTATCATATTGTGCAACAATTATATATCATTCATAATCAATTGATAATGGTGCATGTGAAGAGAGAAGATGTCAAATGTTTTTGAAAATTTTATCTTGATAGAAACTCTATATATAATAATATAATCAATTTGTATCTCATGTGTTAGTGCAGCAAGTTAGAGGAGGTTTTTTTTTTAATTAAAAAAAGGTACAATAGTTTGATTCTTATGTTGAACAATTTAGTTTTTATTGGTTTGGCTAAAATAATAAGGTTTTGATTAGATTAATCATGTTCAGCAAGATTAACCGTTTAACGAATTTGATCTCAAGTACAGCCTAAATCAAATTTCAAGTAATGAGTTTTTGAATCAATCCATCTAGTATTGATGGAAGATTTATTGGTGGGGAGGCCTAGAGATGCTCTATTCTACTTTTAGCTATAAAATTAATTTTTTTTACTACTTCATTTAGAAAGAAAAGAAAAGAAAAGAAGCAAAGTTATGCTGGCAAGCCTGCAGGTTATACGACAGCACACGTGCCTGGGGTGGGGACAAAAGGAGTAGAACGTAGAAGAAAGGAGGAAGTTTGCTTGTGTAGTGTTGTTAATCCTAACTTGTCACGGCAAGGGAGATGGTCTCCTCACTGGCCTGTCCAGACTGATATTCCCGCAAGAAAAAAAGAAAGAAAAAAAAAGAAGAAGATGGATATGATCATGGACAGTGCAGTACGACCTGATCAGTGAGAGAGTGGTTGCATCATCATTGATTACCAAGCAAAGCATGGAAAGAAATGGTCCCATTGTCGCTATGCGAATACACACACAGATAGGGCAAAGGAAGCAGCAGTAGTTTCACTGCAGCCCTAACTCTTGTAAGAGAGGCTGTAGAGTCAATCACACATGTCCTATGGCTTGAAGAGTATCTATCAATCAGTGCTGAAATAAAAAGGAATCAATCCAGCCATAAACGGGACAAGCAAGGCCACAACAGGAAGTGTCAGCAAGCTTTGAGACTTGATCAGATCCCCAGTATGCTGAGAGAAGAGAAGCAGCTCTCTTATGCAAATTTATGGCTTTGCGTGTTTCTACCGAGGTTGTCAAACTCGTCCCACACCAACCCTTCACTCTCCCTCTTCCTCCTCAGCTGTTTCATTACTATTTTTTTTCCAATTACATATTATTCTGTACGTATAAACTAGGGGTATATGCATTAATTATGATCCCTGTTCCATGTGCCAGACACCTATTTATTCTGTTATTCATCCATAAACCAATGCTTTTGAAGGGAATTCATATGATGGACTTGGAAATAACAGAAGATTCTCACTATTTCACAAACTAATGCATAGTAACGTGCGAGGTAGATGGAGACTTTTGTTCTTTAATTTTAAACCGAAAATTTAAGTACAATACACGTTACACACACTCACACGATATCAGGAGCGACGCCGGGGGCTTGTGTGCTGTTGTAAGTTTATGAAAAAAATTATAAAAAAAATTATACGAAGATAAACTGTTTTAAATTATAATATATTTTTTAAAAAAAATTATAAAGTTAAATTCTTTACTAATTTAATATTAAAAAAATTAATAAAGATAATTTAAAAAAAAAAACTAAGAAGGGAAACACTGTAACAATCTCTAATGTTTTATGAAGAATTCTAAAGTTGTAATTCTCAACTAATAAAATCGACAAAAAAAATTCTGAAAAAAATAAAAAGAAAAAATAAAATATAACAAAAAAAAGAAGAAGACAATTTTGAAAAAAAAAAGAAAAAACAAATAGGGAAAGCTAAAGTTCAATTCTCAACCAACTTAATATTAAAAAAATAAATTCAATAAATATAATTTAAAAAAACATGTGAAGAAATATTGCAACAAAATAAAAATCATATGGGAGAAAAATTATAGCAATCCATAGTGTTATTTAAAAAAAACTATAAAGCTAAATTCTCAACTAGCTCAATATGAAAAAAATTAAATCAACAAAGATCATTTAAAAAAAAAAGAAATAAATCATAAAAAAACCATGTAGGGAAATATTGTAGCAATTCACAGTATTTTTTTTTAAATTACATAGTTAAATTCTTAACCAGTTTAATATTTAAAAAAAATTAGCAAAGATACTTTAAAAAAAAAACAAAAAAATAAAAAATAAGTCAATTTTAGAAAAAAGGAAAAAATATAAAAAAAGAACAAAAAAAACATGTGGGAAACAACATACAGTGCTTTCCTCGCATGTTTATATATATATAGATAAATAGATAGATAGATGAGAAGTTGCCATTTTCTTTCTTTGTTAATTAATTCATTTGAACACTTTACCTTTTCTATTGGCCATCATAACATAAATATTATATAGAAGAAGGCAAAATTAGATTCTATATTTAAAGAATTTTGTAAAATTTAATGCAAAAATGATGAGGTTCAGATATTCCTTTTGAGATTATCGTCTAAGGCTTATGT